GCGCCGCCGCTGCCGCCGCCGCTGCCGCCCCCCCCCCCGCCCCAGCGACCGCGCAGCCGCTGCCGTCCGCCTCCATTCGGTGCCCGACGCTGCAGCTCGGGGTGTTCGCGACTTCCAGCATCTCTGCTCGCGCCTCGCTGAACGGCGGCGGAGCTGACAACCGCTGGCGTGGCTCGCTCTTCTCGCGCGAGCTATTCAGGGTGCTGCTATAGCTTCGCCATCCACGCGTCGTTGAACAGCCCCAGGGCCGGCCGCCGAAGCCGGCGCTCCTCGCGCGCGCTGAGCTGGGCGCCGCAGGGCGCGACGCCGGCTCTACCAGGCTCGCGTGAACCAGCTAATCCAGAAGATCACGTTGGCGCTGCAAGAGTCTGCCATACTGGTCGCAATCGTGCTGCTGGAGTCCGTGGTGCTGCTCGCGATGATGCTGCTGGAGTCCGCCATGGTGTTCGCGGTCGTGTTGCTGGAGTCCGTCACGCTGCTCGCGATGATGCTTCTGGGGCGCGGCATGCTGCTCAAGGCCATGCCCATGGAATCCGTCGTGCTGCTCGCGATGGTGCTGCTGTAATCCTTCACGCTGCTCACGGTCGTGGTCGCGATCGCGATCGCTTAAGACGTGGCTGCCGGCGTCCATCATGCTGCTCCCCCGTTGCGCTGCTGGAGATCTTCCGCGCCGCTCACCACGGTGCTGCTGGAGTCCGTCATGCTGCTCGCGGTCGTGCTGCTGGAGACATTCGTGCTGGTCGCGATGGTGCTGCTGGAGCCCAACATGCTGTTCGCAATCGTACCATTGGGGTCCGTCGTGCTGCTCCCGATGGTGATGCCGGAATCCGTTCTGCTTCTCGCCGTCGTGCTGCCGAAGTCCGCCGCGCTGCGGCTCGGAACCGTCGTCGATGCTCTAGACCGCGCACGTGGAGTCCGTCGTGCTGCTCAGGGTGGTGCTGCTGCTGAAAGCAACCATTTTGTTCAATGTCGTAAAGCTGGACTCCGTCGCGCTGCTCGCGGTCTTGCAGCCAGAATATGTCATGCTGCTCCTGTTGGACTCCGTCATCGGGCTCCTAGTCGTGCTGCAAGAGTCCGTCGTGCTGCTCACGATGGTGCTGCTGAAGTCCATCATGCTGTTCACGGTCTCGCTGCTGGAGTCCGTCGTGCTGCTCACTGTGGTGCTGCTGGAGCCGCCATGTTGCTCACGGTCGTGCTGATGGAGCTCGTCGTGCTGCTCAGGATGGTGCTAGAGTCCGCCATGTTGTTCAAGGTCATGCTGCTGGAATCCGTCGTGCCGCTCATGATGGCGCTTGATGGGGTCCGTCGTGTCTCTCACGGTCGTGCTGTTGGAGCCCGTCGAGCGGCTCGCGATGATAACTAGTGCTGGGGTCTGTCATCCTGCTCACTGTCGTGCTGTTGGGGCCAGCAATGCTGCTCGCGATGGTGCTGCTGGAGTCCGTCATGCTGCTCATGGCCGTGCTGCTGGAGTCCGTCGTGCTGCTCACGATGGTGCTAGCAGAGCCCGTTATGCTGATCACGGTCGCGCTGCTCGAGCCCGTCGTGCTGCCCGCGATGATTCAGCTGGAGTCTGTCGTGCTGGTGCTGCTGGGTCCGTCATGATGCTCACGATGGGGCTGCTGGAGTCCGTCGTGCTGCTGGCGATGGTGATGCTGCAGTCCGTCATCCTCCTCACGTCCGCGCTGACTTGCTGCTCACGACGGTGCTTCTGGAATTCATTGTGCTGCTTACGATGGTGCTGATGGAACCCGTCATGCTGTTCACGGTCGTGCTGCTGGAGTCCGCCACGCTGCCCACGATGGTGCTGCTGAAGTCCGACATGCTGCTCACCGTCGTAATGCTGGAGTCCGTCGTGCTGCTCATGGTGGTGTTGCTGGAGTCCGCCATTTTGTTCAAGGTCGTGCTGCTGGAGTCCGTCACGCTGCTCGCGGTCTTGCCGCCGGAATCCGTCATGCTGATCACGGTCGTGCTGCTGGAGTCCGTCCTGCTGGTCTCGATGGTGCTGCTGGAAACCGTCATGCGGCTCACGGTCGTGCTACTGGTCACGGTCTTGCTGCTGGGCCCGTCATGCTGCTCACGGTCGTGCTGCTGTAGTCCTTCGTTCTGCTCATGGTGGTGCTGCTGGAATCCACCATGCTGCTCGCCGCAACGCTGCTGAGATGCGTCGAACTGCTCGCGGCGGTGCTGCTCGAGTCCGTCATGCTGCCCACAGTCGTGCTGCCCGAGGCCGTCGTGCGGCTCGCAGCGCCGCTGGAGTCCGTCATGCTGCTGGCGGTCGTGCTGCTGGAACCCGTTGTGCTCGTCGCGATGGTGTTGCCGGGATCCGCCGTGCTGCTCCGTCCTGGAATCAGCCGGCAGGCCAGCATGGCCCCCAACGCTAGCCGGGTCCCGACCGCCGACGCCGCTCCGCCGCGGAGCCAGGGCCGCCGGCGGGCACGAGGCCGCGCGGGGCGTCCAGCGGAGCCGCCGCACGGGCGGCGAGCCTGGCCGCCCAGGCGTGGGCGGCCACCGCAGGCCACCGCCCCGCTGCGGCCGCCGCGGCGGCGTCGGCAGGAGCACTGGCCGCGCGCGCGGCGCCGCAGGCGCCCGCCGCGCCCAGAGCGCACGCGGCGGCTTCCTCGGCGCGCGCGGCGCCGGCGGTGCCCGCGCCACCAGCGCCGCCAGTGGTGGGCACGGCGCCCGCGAGGCCCGTGGCGCCCGCGGCACAGGCCGAGCCCGCGGCGCCCGCGGCGCCCGCGGCGCCCGCGGCGCCGACGGCGCACGCCGCTGTCATCAGCGACGCGCCGCGGCGGTCTCCGCCGTCCGCGGAGGCGGCCTGGCCGGCGGGCGGCCGCCGCCCCGGGGCGCAGCATGGCAGCCATGCTCTCTCGAGCCAGGGCGGCTGGAGCCAAGGGGATCCAGACGCGCAGCGGTTGCATGGACGTGGGCGCTCCTCTCCTTCGAAGCGAGATCTCCCCGGACACCTCGCTGAGCTGCATGGTCGTGCCTGCTCGCATTCCTGACCATGCGCTGAGAGGATGAAAGGCAACCTCTTGCGAGAACGGGGCTCTCGCTTGAATGACAGGTCCTTAGGGTACTGATGTTTCACGGAGGCGCTTTTGCAGTGGAGGAAAAATTGTAGGAATCAGGGCACTTGAGACAGGAGGATAATTTGCAACATCACTGATGCGTCTTGGGTGTGCTCTGGTCCTCCTCCTCCTCCCTCATCATCCCTCCACCTCCCCGCTGAGTTATCTCTCCTCCCCTTCTCCCTCCCCCTCGCTCCTCCCCCTCTCTATTTCACCCACTTTCCCACCTCCATGCGGTAGAATGGGTGAGAGGCGGAAAAAGGTTCAAAATATAAATTGCATCGGGCCTGGGAGCTGCATAGCGGGCAAGCAATCAACATCGAATCGGGAAATCGTGTCAGATCGGAATGTGCGTCGGATCGGGCTGCATCGGCACGGGAATCGGAATCAAATCGGATCCGCACCCCGAGATGCACAACAACGCCATGCAAACATCAAACAACATCGGGTCGTCGGAATGCCGGAATGGAATCGAAGCGAGCTGGCCAGGATCGATATCGCATCAGACTGGTCGGACCGAAATGGATCCTGGCGGCTCTTCTCGGATGCCTTGCAAGTCGGGCTGGAGCGAATGGATATCGGCGGCGAGCCCGGGGAGGATGTGAGAAGGGGCGGGCCTTCTCAAAAGGCTCTGAAGTCCCCTGGCCTTCTGAGAACTGTTCTAAGCCTTCCCCTGAGACAAAGAAGACATCTCAGAAGGCGCGAGGGCTTCGGAGAAGTCCCGCCGCCTTCCGAGAAGGCCGTCTCCTTCTCGCTTCCCCCCTCGCTCGCCGCCGAGGATCGGTTGGAGGACCACGCCGCACCGCCGATGCATCGGCGACGTCAGGAATCGGGCTCCAGACCATGCCGCATTGCCGACGTCATCGACATGCAACCACTGGACAGACTGGAGATCTTGCATGTGTTTGGCAAGCTCCAGAATTGTGGCCTCCCGTCCTGTCGGTTCTCGTCTGGTGTTCCCGACTGATTTCACCTTGGGCTCTCTCTCTTCTGCTCGCCTTGCTTTCGCTCCCTCCGGGCTCCCTCTTCTTGGTCGCCTCATGGTTAGGTCGAGTGATGGTATGATGCGATTGGCACAGGGCGCTGTCCAGGACTTCTTCAGTATCCAATGGCTCCGGTCTCTGGAAGCTCTGGAACATCATGACAACCTGGAGATCTTGGATCGCATCTCCAAATTAAGAAACTCACTGGATGCAAATACGTTGTTGTTGACTGAACGCAAAAACAGACGGCAACATGTTTGTCAGGGTGGGCCCTAAACAATAAATGATTGCACTGCCTGCATGAGCTATGTGGTGCAAGTTATGCGATGCAGACTATGTGACGCAAACTGTGTGGTTTAGGCTCGGCTGTGCAGTCTACGTGGTGCGATGCACGTGTTGCAAGCTATGCGATGCGAGCTATGCCAAGCAAGGTGTGTGGTACAACCTTTGTGGTGCACGACATGCTGTGCAACCTGCGTGGTGCAATCTACGTTGGGCAACAGACAGAACCTCGGCACTCCCCCCCCAGCGCGGGGCACCCACGAGGCGCCAACGGGCGCCCACCAACCAGGCACCAGCCGACACCCCGACATGCCCGTCCAATGACTGTAAAAAGAAAAAACAACCCAAGTAGTTACAAGCTCCGTTTGGGGAGCTGACTCACGTAATTCATGTGATTGCTGATCGGCTCTTTTCTTGATGGTGAAATGGAAGGGCTTCCAGTGAGCCAAGACTCACTTCCACTATGCATTCACGTGTTTGGTTGAAATAGTGCTTTCTATCGGGTTGTGAATGTGAGCTTTTTCGCTTCCTCTGAGCTCATTGCCATCACACGGCCTCCTGCTCCCATGAATGGTCCGCCACTGGGGTCTTGGCACTCGGCCGAGGCGGCGGAACGAGGGTGAGACATGGCCAGACCGAGCGGGAAGCGGCCGCCGACGCCGCTGGCTCAGGAGTCGCTGGTGCCAGCGCTCTCGTCGCTGGCGCTCGAGCTCTCCTTCTTTCTTCTCCTCCGCGTTCGCTCCCCTCCCTCTCTTCGGCAAGCTCGTGCCATGCCGGCCCTTGCGTTGGCTCCTGAACGATCGTGGCCTTAAGATCGCGCAAAATCGTTCGGTGTCGCGCGCAACCTCGAACAACCGCGCTGGCGTCACCGCGTCGCCGCCACACCGAAACGACGCGACAGTGGGACAGAGGGGGTCCAGGGGAAAATGCAGCATGATGGGGCAGCGAGGAGGGGGCCTCGTGACACGGCGAGGAGAGTTCGTGGGAGCCCGGGCGATCGCGGTGATGGACCTCTCCCCCTTTCCTCCTTATCCCTGTTCTTGACCTCTCCCTGCAAGGGGCGACAACAACGCATGCGTAAACTCCCTGGCGCCCCACGCCGCAGATTTAGGTTGTGGTCGCGCTGAACTGAATGATATACTCACAGTGCTTGCGAACTCCCCTGGCCTTATGCTGCTCCTCATGCTCCGCCTGTTCCTTCTGCTGGTGTTCCTCCTCCCCCTTCTCCCCCACTCAAATTGGCATCAAACTCGCGCTCATCCCGTGCCCACTCGCTCACCGCTCACCCTTGCTCCCCCCTCTTCGCTCTCCAATGCTCTTCCGCAGACCTTTTGCCGCGTCAGATAGGAAACTATACTCTCCAACACGAAAAGCTGTCGGTCTCACTGAGCACGAGATCTTGCTGCAAGTCGTTGCACATTGCCTGTCCCAGACTCCCACGCTCCGTTTCTTTTTTTCCTTTTCTCTGGTTTTACCTTTTCGGTTCGCTTTCTCCTTACCTTTCCGTTTCTTATCTCGTTCCTGGAGGCGTCCGATGCGACCATGAGTTAGCACAAAGAGGCCGCAAGGTGAATGGGCAGAGTCTGATTTGCAGACGTACCCCTACATAAACTTGCAAATACCTGTGCAAGGCACCACGCATACGTACAATCATGTACAAGCTGTGCAATGTCATTCGCTGCATGTGTGAGCACATGTGGATGAATCAGGTGCATTGAGAATGATCTATCTTATCCAACTGTGGTGTTCTACCACGTCCAGCCACGGCCTGCCTCGTGCTGCAAGTTTGAATCACGCCTGCAGACACGGTGCAGCCGACTTCTCACCGCCCTGCCCGATAGGGCACCCAACGCCAGCAGAGTGCACGTCTACGAGGGCCTCCATCCATCTGCCTATGATGCAAACACCAGCCTTCTGGGCAAGAAGAACTTACATCCTTCGGCGAAGACCCTGAGCAGCTTAACGCTGAGCGAGAGAGAGAGAGAGAAAGAAACAACACATAAAAGCATAGACGGAGGCATCCAGAGTGATCATGGAGGCTACGAAACACAACATATTCATACTAAAACATGCGATAGCTCTATCTCGGCTAACTCGTACTCGTGCTGACAGCAATGCTAATTCTACAAGGATAACAGCATGGGTAGGGCTGTAAAACCTAGGGATAATATAAAAAGAAAACGGGAGACAACGCGAGGCAGCGGGAGACAACGGAGAACAATGGCGGCCCAACGGACTGAGACGTGTCTGCGGTCTGGCGACTATGTTACCGTCGTCGCCGCCCCGTCGCCGCCTCGTCGCCGCCCGTCGTCTGGGCCGTGTCTTCAATCTGGCGTCTATGTGGCCGCAATCGCCACCCAGTCGCCGCCTCATCGCCGCACGTCGTCTGGACCGTGTGTTCGGTCTAGCGGCTATGTGGCCACCGTCGCCCCCCCGTTGCCGCCTCGTCGCAGCCCTTGGTCACAACGTAGTTCCTAGTTCATAAAAGAATATTAGGATCTACCCCCCCCCCGGATTTAACCGCCCCCCGCTCCGCATTGTAATTTACATGGGGTTCTGCCCCAATCGTCCACCCTGAATATGAACTCGTAGCATCCCAGGCAGGCCGGTAATACTTCCCCCCCATCCTCTGCAACAAATACGATCCGCGCGCCATCGTTTATCGACAATCCTATGCAAAACGCGGGCGAAGTATACACGCGCGCGTCGTCGCGCGCGCATGCCGAAATCCTTTAAAACCTTAAGTTTCGTAGATCTTTCGAAACCGAGTGTCACGAGCATATATAAGCACACATGATCACATGACTTCGCATCACGGATTTTCAAAATAATAAGAAAAGCTTGCGCTCGCGCACTTGCAGATTCTTAAGAAACCCATCTGAGTTTGCAACATATTCATAACATGCTACCAAGCGGGCCTCTCGCAGGCGCATGCCGAAATTGTTCGAACGCCTTTGGGAGCGTGCTGTAGCGAGAATCCTGAGTACGCAATCGCGCATCGTCGCGCGAGCATGCCGAAATCTATCACAAACCTCAGGTTTCGCAATACTTTCAAAAACGAGTGTTCCGAAAAACATATGCACACACGTGGTCGTGCAGCAAGTTTGCCTTCAGCGTGGCCCGTAGATGCCCCAAGGATTGCTCTGATGCGCCTACCCAACAGGGTCCTTTGTAATATACGTGCTGCAAAACATATCCGCCACCGTGCCGCCGGGCACGGAGCGGGCGTGTCCTCAGGTCTTGGGCCCAATGCTCTAAACCTCAATCCGCACTCCTGAGGAGTCTTTAAGGGGCCTCGACCCCTCGCTCTCAATTGCTTCCGCGCGCCACCTGGGCTTGGCCAGGTGGTGGTGCGCAAACTTCTCGGCCCAAAGAGGGCCCCACGACGGGCCAAGAGGGCCCATAGCGGCATGCAAGACTGCCCACGAGGGCCCCGAGACGGCCGAGAATCTGCCCAGAAGCCCAATAGTTATGGCCTCAAGACGGCCAAAGAGGCCTCCAAGACGCCCCCGCGTTCTCGCCTTTTCGGCTTTCCGACGCTCCAAGGCGGCCCCAAAAGAGGCCCAAGAGTGGGAAAACGAACCGAACATCCGAGCCTTCTGCCCCAAGAGGCCCCCGCGAGGCCCCAGGAGGCGCCCATGAGGCCCCAAGAGGCCCCAAAGAGGCCTCCAAGAGACCCCAAGAGGCCCTCAAGAAGCCCAAACGATGCCCCGAGAGGCCCCCAAACGGCCCCCAAGAGGCCTCCGAACTGCCTCCAAGAGGCACCCGAGGGGCCTCCCACGAGATCCAAACGAACATCCAATAGACGGCATGCCCACAAGATGGCCTCCAAAACGGCTAAGATGCCAACATATGCCTCCAAGACGGCCCAAGATGCACCCCAGACGGACTACACAAGCCTCAACATGGCCCAAGACGGCCCCAAAGGCCCTTAAGACGCCTCCAAGACGGCCCAAGAGGCCTCCAAAAGGGTATGCAGGAAGGCCTGCAGAAGGGTACGCATAGATGTTCCCTATGCGTTCGAAACATTACTGTAGTGGCTCCTTCTTGGCCTTCCGATGACCCTAGACGGCCCAAGAGGCCCGCAAGATCGGCGCAAGATGGCCCCAAAGACCTCCAAGATGGTCCTAGGACGGCCCAAGAGGCCCACAAGACGGCCCCAAGAAGACCCCAAGACGGTCCAAAAAGTATCCAAGACGCCCCAAATGGTCTCCAGACGGCCTTGAGCTGCCCCAACAGGGCTCCAAGCCAGGCCCCCAAAAACGGTTCGACGGCGTCAGACGGGCCAGAAACGCCCTAAGACTGCCAAAGAGGCCCCTAGGAAGCCCCCAAAGGCCCCCAAGAGGCCCAGGGGGATCCCCAAGATGCCCCGGGAGGCCCACAGGAAGCTCCCAGGAATCTCCAAGAGTGCCCCAAGAGGCTGCCAAGAACTGTCCTCCTCCTCCTCCTCCTCATCCTCCTCCTCCTTTTCGTCCTGCTCCTACTCGAAAACGCCTACAGCGAATCACCGCCGCCCCTTGTCTTTCAGGAGACGCCTTCGAGGCCAAAAGTTTGGGCAACCTTTGGCCACGCTAGTGGGCCATGCGTTCCCCCAGCCGTTGTGGAAGTCCTTGGGGGAACACGTGGGGTAGGAAGAGGAGGACGAGGAAGAGAGGGAGGACATAGGAGAAAAAGGAGAGAGGCAGGAAGAGGCCTCTTGGGAGATTCTGGGGCCACTCTTCGAGCCTCCTGGGAGCTTCCTGGGAGCCTTTTGGAGGTCCGTGGGGGCTTCCTTTGGGCCTCTTTGGGCCCTTAGGTTTTTTTGGGGGCCTTTTTTGGTGTCTTACGGCGTTCCTGGCCAGTCTGACGCCGTCGGAGGGAGGCCGTCTTGGATGCCTCTCTGAACCTTTTGGAACCATCTTGGGGCTCTTCGAGGCCTTTGGGGCCGTCTTGGGGCCTGCTGGGGGCCGTCTTGGAGGCTTGTTGGGGAGCCATGGGGCCACCTTGGGGTGATCTTGGGGGTCTCTTGGGCCGTCTCGGGCCGTCGGAAGGCCGACAAGAAGCAAATGCAAATTCCTTGGAACACCTTAAGAAATCAATGATGTTGGCCTCTTCGGGCCTTCCTTGAGGATCCCTTGGAGGCCTCTTGGGCCATCTCTGGGGCCTCTTGGGCGCTTCTTGGGCCGTCTTAGGCTACTTTGGACCATCTTCGCGGTCTTGAAGGCATCTGGGAACCGTCTTGGATGCCATCTTGGGGCTATATTGGGCTCTCTTGGGGAGGCATCTTGACCACCTTGGAGGCCATCTTGAAGCCATCTGAAGCGAAACAGCCGACGAGACAACCAGCCGGCGCGCTGCCGCAGGCCCAAGGGGAGTTCTAAAATAATCAAAAACCTTTCAGAACGTCCAACACACCAGGCACCCCTGTGGCAAACCAGCGGGGACCAAAATGAGCGTTCCGAAAAGGTCTTTTTGGTCCCTGAACGGCTCCAAGATGCTTCCTGTTGGCTGTTGGCCCGCCACATGGTTGCGTGGCATGCAGGACATTCTGAAAAATCCTTTCGTTCTTTTAAAAATCCCCCTGGGCTTTCGGCACAGCGCGCCGGCTGGCTGTCTCGTCGGCTGGTTCGCTTCAGATGGCGTCAAGATGGCCTCCAAGGTGGTCAAGAAGCCTCCAAGACGGACGAGATGGCCCCAAGAGAGCCAAATATAGCCCCAAGATGGCCTCCAAGAAGGCCCAATATGCCTTCAAGACCGCGAAAATTGTCCAAAAGAGCCTCAGACGGACCACGAAGCGCCCAAAAGACGCCTGAGACCGCCCAAGAGGCTCCCAAGTCTGCCCCAAGATCTCCCAAGTGGCCTCCAAGATGGCCCCAGGACGGCCCAAGAGCCTCCCAAGACAGCCCCCAGCAGGCCCCGAGACGGCCCAAGAGGGCTCGAAGAGCTCCAAGATGGCCTCCAAGACGGCCCTGAAGCGCCCCAGGAGGGCTCCAATTCGGTTCAGAGAGGCATCCAAGACGTCTTCCGACGGCGTCAGACAGGCCAGGAACGCCTTAAGATGGCCAACGCGGTCCCGAACAAGCCCCCAAAGGCTCCCAAGAGGCCCAAGGAGGCTTAGAAGAGGCCGACAAGAGGCACCCCGGAAGCTCCCATGAGACCCCAAGAGTGCCCCAAGAGGCTTCCAAGAGGCGTTCTTCTCCTCCTCCTGCTGCTGCTCCTCCTCCTCGTACTCCCATTTCCTTCTTCTTCCTCTTCTTCTTCTTCTCATTCTCCTCGCCCTCAAGTGTTCCCGAGAGGTTTCAATGACAGCTGGGGGAAACATGGTCCGATAGCTCCAGCCTAACTTTCGACCGCACAGGCCCTCCCAAGAAGGCAGGGGGCAACAGTGATTCGCCGTAGACGTCTTCGATACTAATATTCAGATGTATGTACACACATTCGTATATACACATGTGCGTGTATAATATCTTTGTATATATATGTCTATATATACATACATAATTATATGTGTATGAGTGTGTATGTGTACCTGTAAGTATCAACGTATATATACGCATATATTTACATATGCTGATGCACCTCTGTGAATACACATATAAAAGAAAAACGAATGGACAATGTTCGAATTACATACAAGATTGGTGAGGTGTTCAAAGCAATGTAATGTGTGTGTGTGTGGATTATACTTCCATTGATGCCGAAATAACAAGACACCAAAAACAAGAGGGCAAGATCCGTGTGAGGGGTGCGCCGGATGGAAAATGGGCCGGTGGGCGCTGGGCCCCAGACAGAGGCCCAGGACGCTGCACGCTGGGCTCCCGTCTCGGACCTATGGGCCATGGTCGCCAGACGCCGGCGCTGGACTATGCTCGCCGAGCGCGGCGTTGCCATTCGGCGAGTAATGTGGGATAATATTTGTTCGCTCCCCCTGGATTGGCACATGACGAGTAAAACAATGAACCCGGCGCAACTCCAATTAGGGGTCTTCGTAACATCAAACGGTGTTGCTTCTCGTCAACTGGGTTGCTACGTGACGGGCGCAATGAAATCGTTGTTTGTTCTGCAATCCCATTCCCATGCGATGGGTACAATGGAATCCTGTTTTTGTCTCCCTGCCTGCGCTGCCACGTGACCAGAAGAAATAACATAATGCTCTTCCCATGAACTGCCATGTGACGAGTCCGCTGGCCCTGGACCCAGGTCGTCGACCTCTGCATTGCCATGCGGCGGGCATATGTAGATTAGTATGTTTGTTGCCCCCCTGGGGCTTCCATGGGAAGGGTCGAGTGAACGAGTGGAGCAACGTATAATAATATGTGTTTTGTTCCGCTGTCTGCGTTGCCAACTAACAGATGACACTGAATCTAATGTGTTCCGCTCACTTGCGTTGTCACGTGACGAGTGGAGTAGACGAACATGTTGCCCGCCGCCTTGCGATGCCATGAGATGAATATAGCCGAACTGTATCATGCCCTCCCCCCTCTGCGCTGCATGTGATGAGTGGAATGACATTGTATTTGTTCCGCCTGCCTGCGTTGCCACTCGACGAGTAGTCTGTCTGTTCAACACGGCCAGCGAAACCCTTGCTCGGAGTGGCAGGTCGGAGCAAGGGTTGTCTTGGCCGCGTAAAACAGACAACACCGATCCATCTGATCACCAGGCGGCGCCAAGACGGCTCACTATGGGTCAACGATGGTCTATAAAGGGCTCGGACAGCCTCAATAGGCCTCCAGTACGCCGCCATGAGTCATGAGACACTCAAGACGCCGAAGAAGTTCCCGAGAAGTCCCTAGAGGCTCTACGAGGACTCCCAAACAGCATCCACGGAGGCCAACATGATTTCAGAACGTCGACGACGGCCCAACAGGCCCCCAAGGGCGCCCCAAGACTGCCCAAACGACGCCCACGTTGGCTCCAGGACGGCCGAGGAGGACCACACGACAACCCACAAGAGCACCAATACGAGGCAGGAGTGCCCCCCGAAGAGGCCACCGCAGACCCGGAGGGCCCCAAGACACGCCAATGTAGCCCCGATATGGCCCCAAGACGCCCCCATGCGGGCCCCGAACTCCAAAGCGACCCCCGTACCCTCCAGGGAAGGTCAAGATGGCCTCACTAGGCTCCAGAAGCCCCAGCGAGCTCAGGAGAGACCCGTGAAGGCCCCAGCTGAACCTCAAGGTGTTCGGCCGTACCAAGGTCCAAGTCATACAAATGTGCGCTCAATGTATTGCGATATGTGCGTATTCAAGGCCCTTTGGAGGTCCACCGTGACTCCCGCTCTGTGGGCTTAACGACTTCCCATAGCTGTAACAAATAAGATGGTCGATGGGATAGTTGTGGTCCTTCGTTGACGCCTTCTTCTTGACGGCAGCCTGCGACGAATGCCGCCGCGCGGCACCCTTGCGACTCCACGACACCCGTGCTCCCCCTGCAACTCCTCCCTCTTCCCTCTTCCTCCCTCCTCCCCCCTCCTGCTCCCGCCTCATCCTCCTTCTACCCTGCCCCCCCTGCCCTCATCACTCGCATCCTCCTGTTGATCCAATTCCTCCCGTCATCGCTCCCCTCTTCCCCCTCCATCGTCTCTCTCTCTCTCTCTCTTTTTTTGTTTTTTGTTTCTATCTCTCTCTCTCTCTTTCCCCCCATCTTCCAGCCCCAAGAGGCCCCCAAGAAGGCCCAGTGGCGCCAAGAGGGCCTCAAGATGGCCAGAGAGGGCCCCTCCCCAGTGTTACCTCAGTGGTTACCCCAAGCGCTGGGGGAGCGCGCAGTCCACAAATATGGCTCGGCGAGCGAGCGAGGGGAAGCGAGAAAGAACACCCTTCTCAGAAGGCGGCGGGGCTTCTCAGAAGCCCTCCGGCCTTCTGAGAGATGTTCTGCGCCTTCGGGGGGGGGCTCAGAAAACTTCTGGGACGGCCAGGGGGCTTCCGAGCCCTCTGAGAAGGCCCGCCGCCGAGCTGCAGCGGGGGCACGCAGTCCGCCATTCTGGCCACGCCTTCGCCCGACACTTCACCACGCACGCGCCTCAAAACGAAGGATCTGACAACTTCTCGGAAGGCCCGGGGGGGGCTTCCGAACCCCCTGGGCAGGCCCGCCCCGTCCCACCTCCCCCACAAGCTGGCGGCAGCATGGCCGCCCTTCGCTCTGACGCTTCCCCGCACCCGCGCTTCAAAACGGCAGGGCGGCGGTGCTCGGCCGCTGATCCGCTAACCGCACGGCCTGCGGAGCGGGCGTTGGCATGCTGGACCTTGGCAGTGCAGCAGATGCTCTTCGGCCAAGGGCCCCCCCAAGAGATCCCCAAGAGGTCCAAAAGAGGCCCCAAGAGGCCCAAAAGAGGCACCGGGAGGCCCCAAACGGCCCCCAAGATGCCCCAGGAGGTCCCAAAACGGCCCCCAAGGGGCGTCCAAACTGCCTCAAAGAGGGCCCCGAAAAACCTCCCACGATATCCCAACGAACATCCAATAGGCTTCACACCCATAACCCAGGCACGGTGGCAGGATGGGAAGGCAAGTCGATCCGCCACCCCCGTTGATTTATCACATGGGTGCCTGGCGTGCTAGATCCTACGGTTTGGTGTTGGTTCCTCTCCCCAAACACCTCTCCCTGAAGCTTCGGTCCATGCCGCCGGCCACCTGGAAGGCTCCGCCGCTGCGCAACCAACGTTTCAAAGACGGCTTCGATGGCCTCCAAGACGGCGAGGCCAAATTGGCCTCGAATTTCGCCCAAGATGGTCTAAAATGGCATCCAAGACGACCCACGAAGGTCGCAGATGCCTCCAGGTCTGCCCAAAAAAACCACCCAAACGGCCCCAAGTGGCCCCAAGAGGTCCCCAAGAGGCCTTCAAAACTGGCCAAATGGCCTCCGCGAGGTCCTCCCAGAGGGCCCGAAGAGGCCCAAATCACAAGACAACTCGCTGCCAGCCCTAACGGCGAGCATAAATCGGCCGTAGCCCCGCACGCATTCGAATGCGCACATTTCGTCCTCGTACTACTCGTATTGCTCCCCGTCCGCTTCCCTGTCCCTATCGTCGTCGTCGTCCTCCTCCTCTTCCGCGTTTTTCTCCTGCTCCAGCTCCTCCGCGTCGTCCTCGTCTAGGACCGCGCCAGAGGTTGCGCCATCGGCATCGGTAAAAAAAACGATTGATGCGAAACTCGCCAAATCCCACTGTTCCGATGTGCGTCGGGGCCTGAGATCGATAGCATGTGTCCGGCAGGGCAGCCGATGGCGGACATGCCGAAGGCAATGGAATGCGAGGGGGGGAGGAGGGAAAGGACGGAAAAAGGGCGCGGGATGGGGTCGAGAGCTCCTGGTTGGAGGTGCACGCCCATCTGAAGGAACGGGGCACACCCCCTCCCCTAGTGGCGACGGGGTACAAGCTGTTTGGGCAAAGAAGACCCAAACCCTTCCCTATCACCCCATGCGACCTGAATGGACCACCCAAACAAGCGGAGGGCGCCAGAGGGGACCGGGGGCCCTTACGTCGATGAGAAAAGGAAGGAGAAGAGGGCGGAGGGGGGATAGGACAGACGAAAGCCTTTGCAGGCTTTGCCCGGCGCGTGAGACTGCCCATCTGGCGTACTTTGCTGGAGCGAAGCCGCGCGTCGCTCGAATGCGACAGTGCGCTTCTGCTCTCTCGCGCGTGCATGCGCAAAGCACGCGTACGCAAGGCGCCACGGACGTAGCTTTAAGAGATTGAGCTCGCGCTCAAGAAAGGAATCGCAAGTTAGCGGGATCGCCGCCGCGATATTTTCAAGCGGCTGGAAGCGCGGGAGCGTCCGCGGCGAAGTAAGCGCGGGTCGCGCTCGAACCGGGGCGCCCCGAGCCTGTCGAAACGCAACGAAACGCAGGGCGCCTCGTTGACAGGATGCTGCATGCGAGTGGGTAGACATCCTGACGCTGCAGGACTGCGAAATGAAACACGCGCGCTCGAAGTCTGTCGACGTGACGTGGACGCGAGAACCACGCGGAGGGCGTGAATTTTGTCCTGAGTCCAACTCGCACATTTAGTTCAGAGATCGGCCGTGGCCGCCGATATTCACACGTATTAGCCACAGGTGACACCAAGAGCAGGCACAATTCAGCGCTGGAATCTTTTTCATGATGATGGAATCTACAACATGCCGTGGATGCGTTGCCTGCGTGGTACGTTGCATGACCCCATAGTTTTACTCTGGGGTCAGCGGCCGAAGCTTTTTTCCCCTGCAGCCTGAGTGCGCGCAGCGCGCACGTCCAGCTCCTGCGCCGCGGACCGCACGGCAGCCCTGTTGGCCGCCTCTGGAGTCGCCGCAAACGGCGGCAACTCGACAGGGCAGAGCGGCGGCGACGCAGCAGGCGTCGCGGGCGGCAGCTCAGAAGAAGTGGAGCCCGCCGCGACGCCATCACGTGAGTGACCTCCCCGAAGGAGCCACTCCTCTCATGATCTTCTCAGCCTTCCTTCTGCGCTCAGCCTGGGCGCTGGGCTTGAGCGCTGGGGCACAGGCCGTGCCGAGCCCTCTGCACTTGCCCTTCACCTCCTTCGCGTGGGCGTAGCGGCGTAGCACTTCAGGCAGACGCGGTACCCGAAGTACGTGCGCAGGTCGTGACCGCCTCCGTCCGCGTCGAGCGAGCCAGAGCCGCTGGGCAGCGGCGCAGCAGGCTGGGCCACGGCGCCCCCGTCGCCTGCCGACGGCGGCTCCTCGTCAGCACGCAGGTCACCGTCACCGACGGATCCCAGAATCTGGCTTTCGCCACGATGCTGAACGAGGGAGGAGCCCGCCGACGGCGGCTCCTCGTCAGCACGCAGGTCACCGTCACCGACGGATCCCAGAATCTGGCTTTCGCCACGATGCTGAACGAGGGAGGAACCCGCCGCGCTGCTGCTCGCCTCCCCGCTGTCGTGGGTGGGCTGGCACTCGTCCTCCACGAAGCGGCGGGCTGCTGCTACCGCCACCGCGGCGGCTCCAGCGTGCGCCAGGGCCGAGGCGCACGGCCGCTTTTTGCCCCCGCTGGTGTAGGCGTCGGGAGCGAAGGCCTTCGGCGTGCAGTCCTGCCTTGGGAGGTTCTTGGTCGAGATGTCAGTGAAGGCCGACCGCAGGCACCGCAGGCAGTGGAGCGCCTGGACGCCCTCGACTCCGCCCTCGATTTTGACCAGCTCGTGCTTGGTGATGTAGAGCCTGGGGCCCTTGGACTGAGGCTCCCTGTACTTGTCGCGAAAGTCGATCCTGAGATCAGCAGCTTCGGCGCCGGCTTGCGACACCCAGAAGACCGCGCCGTCCAAGGTGAGCGCTCTTGTCTTCCTGGCCTCGCGCGCCTGCTCTGGCGCTCTAAAGTGGTCCGTGACAAACTTCGCCGCTCGGTCAGCTTCGTGGTTGCCTCGCCGGCGTCGGAATGTGATTTTGCCCTCGTCCACCTCCTTGAAAGTCGCGTGGCCCTTGACCTTCCGCACCGTGAGGCCGTCGCTGCTGAGGTCGCCGAAGTCGTCAGCGGCCGAAAATAAAACCGTCTCCTATCGGTTGTGCCATAGGTTGCGCCCTCAGCGGCCGAAGGTGAAACCGTCACCTATCGGTTGCGCCATAGGTTGCGCCGTCGGCGGCCGAGAATAAAACCGTCTCCCGTTGGTTGCGCCAAAAGGTTGCTCCCCCGGCGGCCGAACATAAAACCGTCCCCTATCGGCTGCGTCGTAAGTTGCGCCCTCGGCGGCCGAGCGGAAAACCGTCTCCTATCGGTTGCGCCATGGGTTCCGCCCTCGGCGGCCGAGACAAACACAAACCGTCGCCTATCGGTTGCGCCATAGGTTGCGCCCTTGGCGGCCGACCATAAAAGCGTCCGTCTCTTATCGCTTGCGCCATGGGTTGCGCCCTTGGCGGCAAAGCCGACTCCTATCAATTGCGCGATAAGTTGCGCCCTTGGCGGCCGACCATGAAACCGTCTCCCATCGGCTGCTCAAAAAAAAGTTGCGCCCCCGGCGGCCGAACATAAAACCGTCCTCTATCGGTTGCGCCGTAGGTTGCGCCCTCGGCGGCTGAGAATAAAAGCGTCTCCCATCGGTTGCGCCGTAGGTTGCGCCCTCGGCGGCCGAGAATAATACCGTCTCCTATCGGTTGCGCCATAGGTTGCGCCCTCGGTGGCGGATAATAAAACCGTCGCTTAACGGGTGCGACCAGTCTGTTCAGTTCAGGCTCAGTGCAGTTCAATCAGTTTACCTCGCGAGAAACAAGTTTGGGCTACGCCTCAACTCATTGATTCCCCATAAATGTTTGAAGGAATTTGGCATTTGCCTCCATTTCGCCTTTCCGACAGCCAAGGCGGCCCAAGAAGCCTCCGAGATCACCTCCAGAGCGCCCGAGAGGCCTCCAAGATGGCCGCATTTCGGCCCAAGTGGCCCCCAAGACGGCCCCAAGACGCCCAAGAGTCCTCTAAGGCGCCCTTGATGACCTTCACGACGGCCCTGGATCGCTGTGAGAAAGGCCAGAAACAATCCAATGAAGCCCCCAAGATGGCTTCCGACTGCGTCAGACGTGCCAGGAACGCCATACGACGGCCAACGAGGCCCCCAAGCAGCTCCCAAATGCTGCCAGAAGCTCTCACATGCTCCCAAGAGGCCTTCAATATGCCCCCAAGAAACTTCTAGTACATCCCACGAGTGCCCTACTAGGCTCCCGAGAAACCTCCTCCTTGTTCCTCCCTCTCCTCTCCTTCGTCTTCTTCGTCTTCTTCTTCCTCGTATGTTTCTTCTTCGTCTTCTTCTTTGTTATTATTCTTTCTCCCCCGCGTGCTCCCCGAGGGGATTCCCATGACTGTTAGGGGATATACTCCGATAGATTGGCCGAGCCACGCCTACAACGCTAAACCGCATAAGCGCTTCCAAAAAGACGGGGGGCGGCGGTGATTCGCCGTAGGCGTCCTCGATACTGTCTGGCAATTCCAAAATATTCTCGGTGGCCTTCGACCCAACCAACCGACCCTGGAACACACCGCAATACACAGATGCTGTTCGCTCACGCGGGCCTCCCATACGTCCAGTATGGTCTAAGATGGCGTCCAAGATGCCCAAAGACAGCTCGAAAATGCACTATTGCTTCCAAAATGGCGCCAAGAGGGTCCAAGACGCTCTTTTGAGGGTCTCTCTGGCCGTCTTGGGGGCGCTTGGGGTCGGCCCCAAATGCTAGACACATTGAAGAAGCAATCGGTTGATAACGGTGGCTTCGGACTCTGACATCTCTGGTCTGCAGAGCGTCCAAGCTGGCCCAAGAAGACTCCAAGACCAGCCCAAGATGGCCCAGATGGCCCTAATAGGACCCAAAGTAGAGGGCAGAACATCCACCCCCATAATGATTACCCCGACACGCGAAGCCGTTTAGCAAACGCACCCACGGAAGGAATCGAACAGGGCAAGGCTGTTTAGTGAACGCCTAGGGCCGCTTAACAAACGCCAGTTGTCGGGTGCGGGTGGTTTTTCCCTCAGCGCCCCAAGACGGCCCAGGAGTGCAAGACGGCCCAAGAGTCGTCCCAGGACGGCCAACTGCTTCAAGAGGGCCCCACGAAGACCCCACGACGGCCGCGGAAGGCGCCAGACGGCCCAGGAACGCCCTGAGTTTGCCCTGGGATTGCACAAAGGCCCCCAAGAAGGCCCAAGAAGTCAGAACAGATTCTCAAATTGACCCCTGAGACGGCCCTCCCTACTGTTCTCCCAGTGGTTGCCCAACCGTTGGGGAACACGCAGTCCAGTAATGCAGCCGCACTTTCATGACATTTTCCGTCGGCGGCGAGGCACAAACAGTCCGCTCCAGCGTGTGGCTATTCGGGGCAACCGAAAAGCTAATTGGCCGACTTTCACGACACGGGCGTTCCCAAAAAGCGGCGCTGGCGGTCTGCAAACCTTCGATAAAAACGACAATGTTTTTGAAGGGGTCTCGACCGTGAGCCCCGGTGTATCACTCCTGCCGCTACAACGTCTGATTGATTGTTCGGAGCTCGCACACGTGCAGCCCAGACAGGCTCGCTCTCAAACTGACGCTGGCACCAACCAAGAAATCGCATTGTCTGATGCCGGTACGAACGAACGAACAAACTGTCATCGCCGTAGAGGGCGACCCAAAGATGGGCGACAAGCGCGCACGAGCACGCTGGCCCTTCGGAAAGGACCCAGAAAAATCAGCGCGGTGCGCTCACCACTCATCCCCATGAGAAGTTCACGAACTCATCTTCGTGCTTGTCCCAATCCACTGAGATACCGGTAGCGGCGGCAAACAAAATCACCATGCAATCGTAGAACACTCCAGGTGACGACAATGTGAATGTGAAAACACACATGCCGGGAGCAAGGCTTCCCAGTATGATCGCGTTGACGCTACGTGGTGTTGGCGATGACGTACCCATCGGTCGGAAGAAGCAGGTAGGAACATGAAGTAGGAAGGCGGTGAAGATAGGTTAGGCTTCCGCGCGCCCCCTGAAGAAGAGGACGGAAACAGTGAAGCCACTCGATCATTGAAAGAGGAAGTCGCCTAAAGTAGACTGGAATCTGGGAATCCAAAAATACCCACTTTCAACGACCGATGGGTACTGAGCCGAATTAGCCGGACAGACAGAAAGCTGTGAGCCGCCCCCTTGGGGAGGAGACGCCCCAGAAGAACAACATGCACGATATCCGCCTGCTTCGCCTTCTTCGCCACCTTCTCACTGGGCTCCTCGCTCTCCTCGCTGTCGTCATCCCCCTCTTCCTCCTCTTCTTCCTCCTCCTCCTGCGCCTCATCCTCTTCTTCCTCCTCCTCCTCCTCTTCTTCATCTTCGCTGCTTTCCTCAACTTTCTTCTTTGTGGCTGCCAATCTGGCTGCTGCCTCCGCAAATATGAGTAGCAGGGCGAGAACGATCACCACATTCATCTCACGCTCGTGGAGTGGCATCCTCTTCCGTCTGCATGCAGAACAAAAAGCCTCGCTTACACGGAGTTCAAACTCTCGTGGAACATGTGTGCCGTTGCCCGCGGTCGCTCCGCATCTCCGCGAAACTCCCACCTCCAAGGCGCCACTGGGCGCATAGCAGATCCGCAGAGACAACCCAGCCATCGTGCACCACAGGGAGCGCGGAAGAAGGAAAGAAATGATTTTTCTGGCCACGGCGAGCCTCAGCCAGGAATGGGTCCGCGACCTGGACCTGCGAAACGGTCCGAAAACCGGAGCCCCTCGTCAGCCCAAGATGGGTGGTCCTTATTTCAACGCCCTGGCTGCATGTCCAAATCTCCTCGAGCTGCAGAGATCCGGCATCGGCACCTCGCGCTTGCTCTTTGCTTCTCTTTCTTTGTCAGCCTTCTCTTTGCTCTCCCGCTCCTGCCGCAGAGAACGGATGATCAGAGCCGTCCCTGAGCGGACTCTACTGGATTCAGGGGTGAACGGTGAGACAATGCGAACAACGTGACCGACGGGTGTGCGCACTGACACTCAATCGTGGCCGATGAAAAACGAAGCGCGTACCTACAGACGTCAATGCTGAACAGCCTCTTAATTCGAATGTGTTTTCCCCATATGCTAAGATGGGGTTCTTGTTATTACTTGGACGCCTCCTGCTCCTTCTCCTTCCTCCTCCTCTTTTCTCCTCCCCTCCTGTCGGACATACTCAGACTTGCTCATACACAGACTTATTCATACTCAGACTTACTCATACTCAGACCTACTCATACTCAGACTTACTCACACTCAGACATACTCATATACAGACGTACTCATACACAGACTTGCTCATACACAGCATTAGTCATACCCAGACGTACACATACACAGACTTACTCATACACAGACTTACTCATACTCAGCACCCCTAAGGGGAGCCGCCAGGGGTGGTTGCACGGGCTCGTTCGCGGCCATTTTGTGGGGATGTCTCAGGCGGTTTGCCTGTTTCTGTGCCCAACATCCTTCGCTTTCGGAGCAGATTTGGAGGATGTCTCGAGCGAGGCGCTCATTTCAGCACCCCTAAGGGGAGCCGCCAGGGGTGGTTGCACGGGCTCGTTCGCGGCCATTTTGTGGGGATGTCTCAGGCGGTTTGCCTGTTTCTGTGCCCAACATCCTTCGCTTTCGGAGCAGATTTGGAGGATGTCTCGAGCGAGGCGCTCATTTCAGCACCCCTAAGGGGAGCCGCCAGGGGTGGTTGCACGGGCTCGTTCGCGGCCATTTTGTGGGGATGTCTCAGGCGGTTTGCCTGTTTCTGTGCCCAACATCCTTCGCTTTCGGAGCAGATTTGGAGGATGTCTCGAGCGAGGCGCTCTCCTAAGGGGAGCCGCCAGGGGTGGTTACACGGGCTCGTTCGCGGGTGGGGATGTCTCAGGCGGTTTGCCTGTTGCTGTGCCCAACATCCTTCGCTTTCGGAGCAGATTTGGAGGATGTCTCGAGCGAGGCGCTCATTTTCACCCCCCAGGTGGGCCAGATATTGAGGATGTCTCGGTCGGTTTGCTAGTTTTGGTGGCAAGGCTCGTGGGCGCAGATTCTTCTCAGGATGCCACAGGAGGCTCCAACAGGCTCCAGGAGGCTCCAGGAGACCACATGAGGTCCCAGGAGGCATCAGGAGGCCACAGAAAGACTCAAGAGGCCACAGGATGTCCCAAGAGGCTCCAGGAGGCCCCAGGAAGCTCCAGAAGGCTCCAGGAGACCACATGAGGTCCCAGGAAAGTATTCACTGCGTGGAGCTCCCCATATGTGCATCTACTCGCATGGACCTGTCCGCCGTGAATGTCTAGGCGCAAGAACTTTCGAATATTAACGGGCTTCAGTTGTGACGGTCTGGACATCAATCTAACTGCGAATGAATTGGAGTGTGAATGAGCCTCAGTAGTACGAGCGCGTCTCTGTGCATGAGCCTGGGGCCTCCTGGGGCCTCCTGAAACCTACTGGGGCTTCCTGGGGTCTCCAGGAGCCTCTTGGGACCTCCTGGGACCTCCTAGGAAGGTTTCGTGCCCCAGGGGAGGCGCAATCTATAGCAACAGACGTACATAAAACATTGCGGATTAGAGCCACAGGAGAAGGGCAATCTATAGGAACACGCGTAAAACATCAAGGACTCGTGCCCCAGGAGAGGCCCAATACATCGGAACATGAGCAAAACCTTTAGGATTGTGTACACAGGAGAAGGACCATCTATAGAAACATACGTAGAACATCAAAGAATCGTGCTCCAAGTGAGGCCCAATCGATAGGAGCATACGTAAAACACATGGGATTGGAGCCACTCCTGTTGCCTTCTGAGGCCTCCTGCTCCTGGGGCCTCTCGGGGCCTCCTGTTGCCTTCCGAGGCCTCCTGGCGCTTCCTGTTGCCTCCTGGGGCCTCCTGTGGTTTCCTGAAGCCTTCTGGAGCTTCCTGGGGCCTCCTGGAGCCTCTTGGGACATCCTGTAGCCTCTTGAGTCTTTCTGTGGCCTCCTGATGCCTCCTGGGACCTCATGTGGTCTCCTGGAGCCTCCTGGAGCCTGTTGGAGCCTCCTGTGGCATCCTGAAAAGAATCTGCGCCCACGAGCCTGGCCACCAAAACTAGCAAACCGATCGAGACATCCTCAAAATCTGGCCCACCTGGGGGGTGAAAATGAGCGCCCCGCTCGAGACATCCTCCAAATCTGCTCCGAAAGCGAAGGATGGTGGGCACAGAAACAAGCAAACCGCCTGAGAATCCCCACAAAAAAAACGAGCCCGTCGACCCTGGCGGGGGGCTGAAATGAGCGCCTCGCTCGAGACATCCTCCAAATCTGCTCCGAAAGCGAAGGATGTTGGGCACAGAAACAGGCAAACCGCCTGAGACATCCCCACAAAATGGCCGCGAACGAGCCCGTGCAACCACCCCTGGCGGCCCCCCTTAGGGGTGCTGAAATGAGCGCCTCGCTCGAGACATCCTCAAATCTGCTCTGCTCCGAAGCGAAGGAAGCACAGACAACGGGCAAACCGCCTGAGACATCCCCACAAAATGGCCGCGAACGAGCCCGTGCAACCACCCCTGGCGGCTCCCCTTAGGGGTGCTGAAATGAGCGCCTCGCTCGAGACATCCTCCAAATCTGCTCCGAAAGCGAAGGATGTTGGGCACAGAAACAGGCAAACCGCCTGAGACATCCCCACACAATGGCCGCGAACGAGCCCGTGCAACCACCCCTAGCGGCTCCCCTTAGGGGTGCTGAAATGAGCGCCTCGCTCGAGACATTCTCCAAATCTGCTCCGAAAGCGAAGGATGTTGGGCACAGAAACAAGCAAACCGCCTGAGACATCCCCACAAAATGGCCGCGAACGAGCCCGTGCAACCACCCCTGGCGGCTCCCCTTAGGGGTGCTGAGTATGAGTAAGTCTGTGTATGAGTAAGTCTGTGTATGTGTACGTCTGGGTATGACTAATACTGTGTATGAGTAAGTCTGTGTATGAGTAAGTCTGTATATGAGTATGTCTGAGTGTGAGTAAGTCTGAGTATGAGTAGGTCTGAGTATGAGTAAGTCTGAGTATGAGTAAGTCTGTGTATGAGCAAGTCTGAGTATGTCCGAAAGGAGGTTAGGAGAAAAGAGGAGGAGGAAGGAGGAGGAGTAGGAGGCGTCCAAGTAATAACAAGAACCCCATCTTAGGATATGGGGAACAACAGGAAGCGCCAGGAGGCTTCGGATGGCAACAGGAGGCCCCGAGAGGCCCCAGGAGCAGGAGGCCTCAGAAGGCAACAGGAGTGGCTCCAATCCCATGTGTTTTACGTATGCTCCTATCGATTGGGCCTCACCTGGAGCACGATTCTTTGATGTTCTACGTATGTTTCTATAGATGGTCCTTCTCCTGTGTACACAATCCTAAATGTTTTACTCATGTTCCTATGTATTGGGCCTCTCCTGGGGCACGAGTCCTTGGTGTTTTACGCGTGTTCCTATAGATTGCCCTTCTCCTGTGGCTCTAATCCGCAATGTTTTATGTACGTCTGTTGCTATAGATTGCGCCTCCCCTGGGGCACGAAACCTTCCTAGGAGGTCCCAGGAGGTCCCAAGAGGCTCCTGGAGACCCCAGGAAGCCCCAGTAGGTTTCAGGAGGCCCCAGGAGGCCCCAGGCTCATGCACAGAGACGCGCTCGTACTACTGAGGCTCATTCACACTCCAATTCATTCGCAGTTAGATTGATGTCCAGACCGTCACAACTGAAGCCCGTTAATATTCGAAAGCTCTTGCGCCTAGACATTCACGGCGGACAGGTCCATGCGAGTAGATGCACATATGGGGAGCTCCACGCAGTGAATAATTTTTGTTTTTGCTCAGACAGCACACACAGAACTGCGCCTCGTGCGCGGCCCTCAAGTGTGAGCAAAACGGGGTTCGACGCTCCATGTACTGCAGAAGCGGTGCCACGAACTGCTGGATAAGACGCCACACGCTGAAGCTCCCACGTCAACAAAAATCAAGGCGCCCGGTACACCCTCCGAATCCCACCAGCCCTCTGGGCTTAGGTGGTACGGTATAACGCGTTTTTTCTTCTCTCTCACTGCTCCCTGTTAATAAACACCCCCTCCCCCAGGCTCAACGTTGGCACGTGGTTGGGAAAAAAACACCACCTCGAAATCCCATGGCACATCTCCCCACTGTCGCCACAGTGCAGTTACCTACTCGAGAGACGCTCGCTGAAGCACGGCGGCCAGGAGAGCAGCCGAGCGGGCTACTGGAAGCCTTCCTCGGGAAGAAGCGCTGGAGCGAGATGGCCAAGAGCGCAGCGCGTGTGCGCCGACCTAGATATAGCTCCTGACATGTGCCAACAGGCACTGCATGAGGAAGAAGGAGGAGAGGCCGCGAGCGAAGGACGGGAGGGCACGAGCACGACCGCCATCCCACCACCATGCCGCCGGCGAGGACGCTGGCGAGGCGGCTGGCGACGCGGCCACCCTCGCTGCGCGAGGGCTGGGAGCAGATAGTGGTAGCGCGCACAGGTGGCCTCCTCCTCCTCCTCCACCTCCACCTCCACCTCCTCCTCCTCCTCTTGGCTTGATGCGTGTCTTTTCTCCATCCATCCAGACAGGCAACGTGCACGGGCAAGGCACACAAAATGCGGTCGCGATGCCCTCTACAAGCCGCCGACAGCACCCTAAGCGACCATGCCGCTTGCGGAGCAAATCGAGAAGGTCAGAACCTACTGGTTGAGGCGCACGCTGGCAAAAATTGGCGCACGTGCCCTCGTTATGGCATGCGGGTTGGTCCGCGCCTCTACAGCATGAGACTCGCGCGAAGAAAAAATCCGGACCTCCGACGTCGTGATGTTTGACGATACGTGGGCCCTCTAGCTCCCGACCCCTTCTCCAGGGCCGGCTCAACGTCGGTGGCCGTGCCTCGATGGCAAGAGGCCTCCA